TACTGGTAACTCTTTTTGACCTGTCTTTGAACACTCATGCAATAATTTTTGAAGGATAAATTATTGAATGTGGACTTGCTAGGTCAGAGAATAGATACCTTCCTCATTTTGATAAATGTTGTCAAAATTCCATGCATGAATTTACCAATTTGCACTGCTTTCAACAGTGTTACAGAGTGCCCTTTCTCTCAAATTAGTACCGACTCTGGGCATTACTAATCTTTGCTAAGCTGATAGGGAAAAGGAATTTAGGTTATTTTAATTGGCATTTGTTTAATCAATAGTGACTTGGGGTCTGTTGTCATATGCTTATTGCCCACATGTATTTCTTTTGTGAATTCAATATTTTCTGATGAGGTGTTTACCTTTTACTTATTGAATTATTAGAGTCTTTATATGTTAAGAATATTAGCACTTTGTCACATATTTTGCATGCAATTATATCTTTCCGATAACAGTAGAAAATATCAAACAGGTATACTTACATACCTCCCCACACCCCCCAAAAAAAACCTCCACAAAATTTTAGTTATTGACACTGTATTAGTTCCCTAGGGATGCCATAACAAAGTGCCACTAATAGGGTGGCTTAAAACTATAGAAATGTGTTCTTTCACAGTTCTCAAGGCTAGAAGTCTGAAATCAGATTGTTGGTAGGGCTGTGCTCCCTTGAAGGCTTCTAGGGGAGGATCCTTTCTTGCCTCTGCCAGCTGCTGGTAGCCCCAGGTGTTCCTGGCTTGTAGATGCTTCACTACAATCTCTACCTCTATCATTTGACCCTTGCCCCTGCCCTGTATGTTACTTCTCTTCTTCTTATAAGGACACCAGTCATATTGGATTAGGGCCCACCCTAATGACCTCATCTTAACTTGATTATACTTACAGAACCTACTTCCAAATAAAGTTAAATTCACAGGTACCAGGGTTAAAACTTCAATCTATCTTTTTGGGGGGCACAATTCAACCCCCAGCAGATACCTACCCATCATGAAGTGTCTAGTATCACCAGCATATTAGAAACACTGTAAGGACCAGGCTAGGCCAATCTTATTCCATATTCTAATTCCCAGTACTTAGCACAGTGTCTTGCAGGCAGTGGGCCCTCAATGATGATTTCTTAAAAGAAAGAATTTGATTTTTAGGACTATCTGGCATTTCAGATATTAAAAGATGTATATAGTGAACACAAGAAGTCAGATTTTCTTTTATTTAAATTGAAATCGAACAATTTATAATTTAAAATACATGCAAGTGGGGAGAACTGGACTGCCCAGAAGGGGGACGGCCTCAGCCTCCTGAATGGGGACTTTAGCCAAGCGTGTGTTTTGGGTTTCCCAGGCACCTATCCTGGAACAAGTCTTTGAGAATTTGCAGACAAGCACTCAGATTAGAACCAAACTTATTTACCAGAATTATCAGGTTGGACAAAACAGAAAGTAAGTCAATAGAACACTTAAAAATCCAAATTTAATCTATTCATATTATTAAATATGATTATCAATTTATCATATTCATATATCATGCCATATTCATAATCATGGAAAGCAGAGCCTAGCACATCAAATGTCAGAATTTGTTCCAGAAACTTATTTTATAAGTGATTTTTCTGGACTTATTTTTATTTTTTTATTTTTTTTATTTTTTTGAGTCAGAGTCTCACTCTGTTGCCTGGGCTAGAGTGCAGTGGCGTCAGCCTAGCTCACAGCAACCTCAAACTCCTGGGCTCAAGCAATCCTACTGCCTCAACTTCCTGAGTAGCTGGGACTACAGGCACGTGCCACCATGCCCGGCTAATTTTTTTCTATATATTTTTAGTTGTCCTGTTAATTTCTTTCAATTTTTTTAGTAGAGATGGGGTCTCGCTTTTGCTCAGGCTGGTCTCGAACTCCTGAGCTCAAATGATCTGCCCTCCTCGGCCTCCCAGAGTGCTAGGATTACAGGCGTGAGCTACCACGCCCGGCCGGAACTTTTGGACTTATTTTAAAAAATAACTAATTTCCATTACTATAGGACTAATAACCTCCAAATTATACAGCAGAGTTCCTATATCTGACCCTTTTTTAAAAAAAATAATTCACTTTCTAAAAAAGGTATATTTACACCATTAATTTTTTAAGTCAAGAGTTTTCTCTAGGAGTTGATATATTTTATCTGTAATGTCTCCACTTCCTGTACTTTCACCAACGTATCACTAAAGCTAGTTAAATGCAGTCATATGAGGCTAGGCCTAAAACATCTGCGTTGCTTTTACTTTTAGTGGCCATAGTTCCAATTCAAGAGCAATGGGCCACTGTTCTAGGTCCTCATGTACAGACGTAGAAAGAAGGTATTTCAATTTGAACAGACGCAACATGTTGATCCAGGCACTCTTTAGCTGCACTCATGCAGACATGGTAGACCATGTGTACAAAATTGAGCACCAAAGCCATTATTCACATATACACAGCACCAGTTTCACGTGACAAGTACAGCTGCACAGAACTCAGAAAGCCTTGGTTTAATACTCTGCTGTTGCCTTTTTGAGTTTCTTAATAATTTTTGAACTATGGGCCTCATATTTTCATTTTGCACTTGGCTCTGCCAATTATGTAGCTAGTCCTAGATACACATAAAAGTTGCTTTGACCTGATTCACTTGACTTGTGATCTATGTTTTCATTTGGCATTGAAGATAGAGTTGTGGGTAGTTCCCCAGCAGCAAGATGACCCTAGTTCTAGAACATTTTCAAAAGTATATGTAATTAACAGGGGACAATAAAGGAAGGATGCTCACAAAGATGATTTTTGTTTATGTGTAAGTCTATAGAGTTGAAATTATACCCTCATTGAAATATGGAAGAATCAAGCCCAGTTGGAAGATATACTTATATATATCAGCATCATGAAAGAACTAGTTCCTTTGAAGAGCAAATATGTAGGCATGTGTCAACACGCTAAATATAAATACATTCCTCTGTAATTTTTTTTTATCATCAAGACAATTATTTTAGCAATTCAAAAGAAAAGCAAAGTAGAATCTGTTCAAGGTCTGAGCTTGGCTATTATTTATCAGAATAGTGAAAACATCCTCTTCTGAATTAGAAAGTTTTTCTTGCTTTTCTTCAAAAGAATGGTAGGGAATAGTTGGTCTAGAAGTGCCATACAAAGCCTATCCTCTATTTGTAGAGCAGAATAAACATTTCATGACAAGAGCATGGTCCTCTGTTCAGGGGGCTAGAGTATGATTTTATTTTTTTTTAGAGACAGGGTCACATTCTATTGCCCAGGCTAGAGTGCAGTGGCATCATCATAGCTCACTGTAACCGCGACTTTCTCGGCTCAAGCAACCCTCCCGCCTCAGCCCCTCAGGTAATGAGGCCTACAGCCATGTGCCATTACCCCTGGCTAATTTTTAAATTTTTTGAAGAGATGGGGCTTTGCAATGTTGCCTAGGCTGGTCTGGAACTCCTGGCCCTAGGCAATTCAGCCTTCCAACTCAGCCTCCCAACCTGCTGGGATTATAGGTGTGAGCTACTGCATCTGGCCTAGACTGAGATTTTAAAAGGAAAAGTTGTCAAGGAAGAGGAGTTCTTTCTAGATACCTATGAGCCAGGAGAAAGGCTCATCGGGCAAGGAAGCAGAGTTACCTACACCTTTGAGGCCATTCAGGGCTTCTAACCCTGGCTGCGCATTAGAAAAATACTGATGTCTGGGCCTCATCCCACATGAATTAAATTATAACGTGGGAATGGGGCTCAGGCAAGGGTAATTTTAAAAAGTGTCCCTGGTGATTCTTATTTGCATCCAGGGTTAAAAACCACTGGGCTTTTGCATGCACAAAAAGAAAGGTTTGGGCTACCTCAAAGTCAAACAGGACTTCGAAAATTTAAAAATTAGATATATATTTATATCTGATTATACTTAAACATAGACACTGTTAACATAGTTATTTCTACATAATTTATTAACTATAGGTAATTACAAAATATTTTATAAATAATCTAATGATTGCTCTCTAAGGTTAAACAACACTTGCAATAAATAGCAAGATATTTAAAAGATGAAGATTTTATTGTAAGGAAGACGTTTCAATTATTTTTAGGAAATCTGAAAGATATGTCAAAGTTTAAAAGTCATTTAAACTGAGAAATGGATACGGCAAGTAATGTTCTTCTTGGAAATCTTTTTAGATATCAAGCATCTTTCCTCCATTAAGAAAGAAAGAAAAAAAATGCTCAGACCAAAATTTAAAATTAAGGTATTTGGAAACTAATTCATATTTTCTTAGACTGCTTCCTTTAATAATATATATTTTAAAAAACTCCACTAAACATCTTTACAAATAAGTCCCTAAAATTGTAGTAATCGTTGAGTAGAAGTTATTTTTCAACTAATTTTTGACTTCTAGGGTAAAGGTGTCCTTGAAGATTTCACAAGTGTATAAAGAGTTGTGGGCAATTGAGGAAGAAAGGAAGTAGGGAAAAAGGGAGAGAGGAAATGTCCAGGCACGAAAGAGTCCCTTTACTTACTGCCTACTTCAGTGCTGGAGAAGGCTATAGTAATTGTGCTAGATAACTCACTCTCGTGGGCAGAGTTGAGACGAAAGGTCTCATCTCTGTTTTTTATATTCATGACTCTGGAACCAGACCAGCAGAGGAGGGCCAAGGCGCAGAGGTTCAGATTTGCCCGTTTGTGTTTGTGTGTCTCAGTTGCACACAGTAAAAGAAACTAATTGCAAAGGACACTAAAAAGACTAACTTGCTCTCTTTGCTTTTAGCACGCCACTAACATCTTCAGACACTGAAGGGATGTTTGGAAACATCATTTAAGAATGAGGTAAGGGTTACAATGATTACATATTTTTCTGTGATGAGCTTGAAGCACATAAGGATAACCAATTTGAGAGTAAACCCAGGTGAAAACAGATGTCACCAATTATTCTAAAGAATTTCCAGAAGCACTCAAGAATAAGGTAGTCAAAATATGAGGCACAATAAGGAAGTTGTTGGTCTGTTTCAACTTACAATATTCTCCAACATCTCTGAGACAAATGAGAAAAGAACAAACCTGCAAATAAGCCTAGGACTAAATAGTACTTAACCGAATAATTAGCAGTGCCAACCTTTTTTCTTCAGCGAAGAGTTCATCTAGGAAAAGAGCTATATTTCTGAAGTGCCAGCTTTCACCATGTCCTACGGCATTTTAAATCCAAGTTCGATGACTGACATGCTAATTTAAAGCTTTAGAACACCAACTTGTTTTTAATTCTAGCCCAAAGCACTAGGCTGAATGTTTCTCTCCTTGTTTGATGCCAAGAACAAGATGTAGGAACCAATTGAACTGAACAGTCCATCCTTTGTCTCTGCAAACTTCAATCTGATCAAGAAAATACTTTTTAGCATCCTCCTCACTTTTCCCCACTGTGAGGGCATCCCGGATATATTCGATATCTTCTTTGCTTGTTAATTGGGGCATTCCCGTCATCAGCATCATGGAGAACAGGATGATCAGTAGGTTCGTGTGATGACGAAGGGCTAAATAAGCCTTAACACAGACATCCTGGATGAAGGAGAAAATGCTGTTACGGTGGGTGCAGTAACTAAGGCTGAAGACCACTAGGCTGTATTGGGACTTGCATAGCATTACCTCTCCATGAGAAGAAGCCAGCACAAACAAGGTAGGTCCCTGGCTCAGATGAAAAACTTCATAAGAACATAAACTGTTTTTTATAATCTCTTAACACTTTAGTGTAGTTGCACATATATGGGGATTGCTCAAGGAACCCTAATTGGTACAGGTTAAGTTTCATCTTATTTATTACTCTACCTTTTTAATTTAATTTCTTTCCCAAGAGATAGAAGGTGGACATTTCTGTAATCTCTGAAGAGGAATGAGTTAGTTTTTGAACACCATGCTGGAATTAATAAACTTTAAGTGTAAATAATGTTTGCCAAGAGCTAATGAAATCCAAAGAAATGATGGAAATATGGTGTCTGAGATTTAGTTTTCATCTTTATTTTACACTTTGTTCTATTCTAAGAAAACAGATGAATTAGCTTTTCACTGTTTGATGCTCAAAATTTTTGAATGAACTTTGCAATTTTAATACAAATTCTGAATACTGAGTGAGGGAGGGGGCTTTTAAAAATGCTATGGTTGATGTCTTCCCAAAAAGCTTTGTGGCAGGCAATACAGGTGGGTTATGTTCACTTACTAAGCAACATGTATGATTATGCCATTTAAATTGGCCCAAAGATGCCAGGTTCCCAGTTTTATAACACAGGAATAACTGAACCTTAACACCATAACTTGATAAAGACAGCATATTAAAGAAAATTAATGTTAATGATTACAGATATAAATAGTTCAATAAAATGTTGAACAAAATGTTAAAAACAACCCACACCATAGCCAAATAGGGTTTATTCCCAAACTGCAAGATTAGTTCATCATAAGTTACTGTATTAACATCCATTTTTGATTTTTAAAAAAGTAACATGCACCTTAATGTCATTAAAATGTAACAACATGAAGAATTATCTGACATTATCAAAATAGTTCTAAATAATAAAATACTAGAAAAAAATGAAGTATAACATCAGAAAAATGAAGGTAAAATTATTAGTGTTAACAAATGACCTAATTATCTTCTTGGAACACTGAAGGGAAGAGAAACTCGAATATTACCGTAACTAGTTTTTAATTTTTTATAAAAAGAAAGAAATAGAATGCTGTACATAGGAGCCACAGTTGGAAAGTATAATGAAAAAAACAGATGCCGTGATTAATGATACCTAGGGTAAACACACAAAACATGCAGAACACCTTTTTAAAAACTGTAAAACGTTAGTGAATCACATAAAAGAAAACTTGAATACATAGAGCAACATATGTTCCTCAGCGGTAAGTCCTATTATAATGATGTAAATTATTCTCAGATTAATCTAAAAACATAATGAAATTTCAATAAAAATTCTTACTGGACATTTAAACTCAGATATGGTTTAAGTTCATCTGGAATATAATAGCGAGGGCCGGAGAGGACATTTTGAAAAAATATAGTAATGAAAACCAGTGCTTGCAAAACCAGATATTAAAACATTTTATAAAACTACAATATTAAAAATGGTGTGAAAAAAATCTCTTCTTTTCCAAAAAAGACAAATTTTGTGGAACAGAATGGAAAGCTCAGAGACACATCTAAATTACATAATAAATATGATGTATAACGAAGGTGACTTCTCAAATTGGTGGGGGAAAGATTTATTATTTGATAAATGGGGCCAGGACAACTGGCTCATCACTAAGAGGAAAAATTTAAATTTTTACTTCATGTGATATATTAATACTAAAATACATTCCAGATGAATTAAAGATTTAAAATAAAAAGGGCAAATATTTAAATAATCATGGAGTGTGACAGGACTATGAAGATGATTTCCAAGGTGGAATCTATAAGGAAAAGATGGAGAGATTACAGAAACTTGAAATTTTTGGGAAAAAAGGTATAAACAATATTTAAAAAGGCCAATGACAAAAGTAAACATATTTGCAATATGACAGGTCACTCCTCCATGCCTAGCCCCCTAATCGTTCTTACAAGTCAATAAGAAAGACAGAGAGTTAGCTAGAAATACAGGCCAAGGACATAAACAAAAATTCACACTATAAGACATAAAAACAGATAATAAACCGATAAAAATATGCAACCTCCATTAGTATTTAAATAAATGTAACTTAAAATGAGATGGAAACACTCACCTACAAACTGGAATTTTTTTTTAGTCTTTTAAAGAACTAATACTCAATGTTCACCTTTCATAGGCTGATGGGTAGATGGGACAGGTATAACGTTACCAGCAGACAACTGGATAACATGCATCAAAAGCTTTAAAGTGCTTGTAAGTGTTACATAACTTAATTGTAGCGGTGGTTACATGACTGTGCATTTGTCAAAATTCATGGAAATGTACACCTAAAAAGGGTGAATTTTGCTGTATGTGAAATATGCCTCAATAAACTTTACTTTAAAAATATCTATATCCTTTTGCTCAACAATTCCCATGCTAGAAATTTACCTTTTAAAAAAATTCTGAAAAATTTTCAGTGATTTATCTACAAGGATGTTCATTAGAACACTGGTTAAAATTGTAGAAACTTGAAAGCAACCTAAATGCCCTATAATAGGGGATTGATAAAAAAATGTTTATGAAAAGTACTTACAATTACATGTTCTGCAGCTACTAGAATGATATTGTAGAAGAATATTTAACAAGCATGTAAAAGTGTTTGTGTTAAGAAGCAGGTTTAAAAAACCACATCCCATTTGGTAAATTAACACAGAATATTTATATGGAAAGAAGAATATAAGTTTACGGGTCAAAATGTTTAATAGGGAATTTTCTGTTGCTTTTAGATGATCTTGTCTGTGCCATTCGTATGTGGCAGAGTAACTGCAATGATAACTGAGGTCAGGCCTGTGTCATTCCGTGTGTCAAGGCTGGACTGTGCATGTATGCATTGCCCTGGCCAAGTTACGAAGATCCGTGGACTATTCTGGCATCTTCTAAGTGAGACGATACATGAAAAATGCCTGGCATGGAGGCAGGCACAAAGCAAGGGCTCAATCAAATGTCTGTGCTCTCCCTTCCCTACCATTCACCCTGCGTCTCCTCTCTGCTCACCACGAAGCAGGCGACTCCAACAGCCCAGGGTTGGGCTGCTGCCACCTACGCCCAGCCATCACTTGCGCCCTGGAAGCGGCCCCAGTGCATTAGTGCCCTTGCAGTCTTAATAACTCCACTTATGTCCGGAAATCATTTTTTTTTGCTCTTCCATAGGACTTACTGAGGTCTCTCTCATTCCTTGGTAATTACACAGCCTAAGTGCAGACGTCACCCGAGGCAAGAGTCTTATTAATTTGCTAACTCACACAATTTTCACAAGGGCAGAGATGGGGATGCCTTTTGCTTTTGAATTAGACTACATTCTGATTTTTAATTATTTTCCATCCCTCCATACACTGGGAGCTCCAGGCAAACCCCCTGCTGTGTGAGCCCACTGCATGGTCGAACTCTCTTTAATAAAATTTTTGAGGAGGGAAATTAACCCGAGGCCAAGTTATTATAACACCAATCCACTGGTGCTCAGTAAATATTTGCTAAGCATGTATGTGAGGAGTCACGGATCCCTGCGGCACTCAGAGAGAGGCGTGAAAGGAAAGGAACTGTCCTGCTTTTCCTGAAGACCATCTGACCCATAGATAGGATTTCTGATGGCTCCAATTTATTCCATTAGTTATAATTTTCACACATGGGGGTTTCTTCTATGAGAAAGAAATTTCTTCCCCAAATTTAACTGCATGCCCCATGCTTGTCAGACACAATGTCCACATTCTGCCTGGCTGCACAGACTTAGAGACTTGGTGCAGATGTGATTATCCTTTGCTGAAAGGCAGGATGGGGCAGTGGTCAACAGCTCAGATTCACACACAGCTAAATAAGCCTCACTCCAACCGGTGTCAAGGGGGACAGGGCTGTTTGGTGCTGGCCTAGAGAGGTGGGTGGGGTGGAAGCATAGGGCACACTGGCTGTATCTGCAGGTGGTTCTCAAGCTGAGCACTTGCTCCACCCACATAAGCCCCAGAAGTTTCATTTCTGCTCTCTGCACTCAGCCAGGGGGTCTCTGAGAGAGTCCTGACCATGCTGCTGCCCAGAGGCCTGCGGTTTGAGGGACTATGAGGATGTGGCTTGGGGAGCTCAGGGGAAAACACAGAATACAGAAGTTACTGGCTGTCACAACAGAATTTTCCCTTCTGTCAGGGCAGCCTGTCATTGACCCCAAACATCCTTATTTTCTCCTTCTCAATGGCCTGTTGATGGCTTTGTAGTATTGAGTGGAGAAGAAGAGTAAGGGAAGAATCTGATTTTGGGGACTGGGTTTAATGTACTTGTTAATGAGTGTGACTGTGGGGAACATTACATTATTATTAATGTCATTAGCTAGAACACTCTCCATTAGTAGCTAATAAATAGATTGAGCCTACGTAGTACATCTGCTCTTAATTTCATTGTTGTTTCAAATGCCTTAATTATAGCATCTAGCACTAAAAGAAAGAATTGTTTTTACAAAGTTACCACCCCCATAAGTCTTGGGAACAAAGGAATTCATTACCATTTCAGGCCCCAAACTTTGCCTTGATTTGCTAACTGGCCCAACTATCAGTTCACTAAATTGAGAACAAACTACTTCTAAGCACAATCTACTAAGTTTTTAACCACTGATGAGCTGCAGCTGCTTTAAACTGTCGAAGGTCATATGCAATACTTTTTCTTAAAATCAAAATCCTCTATCTCATCTAGAAATGAAGTAGAACCTCCCCTGACTTTTCCTAAATACTGATGTTGCCTGTGTCTGCTAGCGGAAAGAGACAGTGGAGAAAAAATATTTCAGTCTAAGGCAATGGATATTATTTCGATTTTTATAAAAATCAATGCACTGGCTAGTCAATGTCTTTAAAGTTATTTGGCAAAACAGAGAAAGCCACTGATTTAATACAC